CATGTCCGTGCCATGTCCTTGTGTCCGTGCCGTGTCTGTGTCCCTGTGCCATGTCTCCATGTCCCCGTGGCCGTGCCATGTCCCTCTGTCCATGCCATGTCCTTGTGTCCGTGCCATGTCCCCGTGTCTGTGCCATGTCCCCATGCCCTGTCCTTGTCTGTGTCCCTGTGCCATGGCCATGCCATGTCCCCGTGTCTGTGCCATGTCCTCATGTCCATGCCATGTCCCTGTGTCCGTGCCATGTCCGTGCCATGTCCCCGTGTCCGTGCCATGTCCATGCCATGTCCCCATGTCCGTCCCATGTCCCCATGTCCGTGCCATGTCCATGCCATGTCCCCATGTCCGTGCCATGTCCCCATGTCCGTGCCATGTCCCCATGTCTGTGCCATGTCCCCATGTCCGTGCCATGTCCGTCCCATGTCCCCATGTCCGTGCCATGTCCCCATGTCCGTGCCATGTCCCCATGTCCATGCCATGTCCCCACGTCCCCATGTCCCTGTGCCATGTCCGTGCCATCCCAGCGGATCGAGGGCCGCGTGGCCGCCCTGCAGAACGCCCTGGACGAGTTCTACAAGGCCAAGAACGACTTTGCTGCCAAGGTGAGAGTGCCCAGGTGCCACCAGGGACACCAGGGACACCAGGGACACCAGGGACGAGGTCACTTGTCCCTGCCCTGGGGACAAGGCTGGGCGAGTGGCTGCCTGTCCAGGGGCGTGGCTGGAATGGGGACATTGAGGCTGGGACAGGGACCCCAAGGGTGGGACAGGGCTGGTACAGGGACCCCAAAGCTGGTGTGGGGACTCTGGAACTGGGACAGGGACCCTAAGGCTGGGACAGGGACCCCAAGGGTGGGACAGGGCTGGGAAAGGGACCTCAGGTCGGGATGGGGACCTGGGGCTGGGATGGGGACATTGAGGCTGGGCCAGGAATTCTGGGACTGGAACAGGGACATTGAGGCCGGGACAGGGACCTCAGGGATGGGACAGGGAACTCAAGGCTGGGACAGGGACACTGGGACAGGGACTCTGGGGCTGGGACACGGACCTCAGGGCTGGGGCAGGGACATTGAGGCTCGCCAGGGACTCTGGGGCTGGGCCAGGAACTCAGGGCTGGGCCGGGGACATCGAGGCTGGGCCAGGGACACTGGGGCTGGGCCGGGGCAGGGCTGGGGACATCAAGCCTGGCCAGGGCACCCACGGCTGTCCCCGTGTCCCAGGCCACAGAGGAGCAGATCAAGCTGCTGCGGCTGCAGCGGCACCTGCAGGAGGAGCTGGACAAGCCCTACCTGGACCTGTCCCTGCACGACACCGTGGCCACCCTCATCCTGGACGGGCACCACAAGCGCGCCGAGCAGCTCTACCGGGACTTCAGGATCCCGGACAAGAGGTGGGCACGGGCCCTGGGGGCGCTGGGGACGGCTCAGGGACAGCCCCGAGCCCCTGTGCCCCTGTGCCCAGGTACTGGTGGCTGAAGATCACCGCCCTGGCCACCCGCGGGGACTGGGAGGAGATGGAGAAGTTCTCCAAGAGCAAGAAGTCGCCCATTGGGTACCTGGTGAGAGCTTGGGCTGCCTCAGTCACCCCCTCGTCTTCCTCCCTCCCCTCCCTGCCCTCCCATCCTCTTCCTCCCCGTTCCAGTTCTCCCATCCTCTTCCTGCCTTCTTCAGCCCTCTGACCCCCTTCCTCCCCATGCCCACTCTGCCCTCCTCTTCCTCCCCTCTCCAGCTCCACCATACTCTTCCTCCCCTCTCCAGCTCCACCATCCTCTTCCTCCCCTCCCTGCCCTTCCCACCCTTTTCTTCCGCCCTCTCCAGCCCTCCCACCCTCTTCCTCCTTCTCTAGAGGTCCCATTCTTCCCATCATCTTCCTCCCTGTTCCAGTTCACCCATCCCCTTCCACCCCTCTTGAGCTCTTCCATCCTCTTCCTCCCTTCTTCATCTCTCCCATTCTCTTCCTCCCCTCCCCAGCTCTACCATCTCCTTCTCTCCTGCTCCATCTCTCCATCCTCTTCCTCCCTTCTCCTGCCTCCCATCCTCTCCCTCTCATCCTCTTCCTCCTTCTCCCTTCTCCAGCGCTCCCATCCTTGCCTTCCCATCCTCTTCCTCCCCTTTCCACCACTACCATCCTTTTCCTCCCCTCTCCATCTCTCCCATCCTCTTCCTCCCTTCTCCATCTCTCCCATTCCCATTCCTGCTCTTCCACCATTTTCCTTCCTTCTCCATCTCCCCATCCTCTTCCTCCCTTCTGCCTTCCCATCTTCCTCCCTTCTCCAACCCATCCATCTTCTCCCTCCCATCCTCTTCCTCCCCATTCCAGCTCTTCCACACTCTTCCCTCTCTTACCTCCCACCCTCTTCCTCCCTTCTCCATCTCCCCCATCCTCTTCCTCCTTCTCCAGTCCTCCCATCGTTGCCTTCCCATCCTCTTCCTCCCCTTTCCACCTCCACCATCCTCTTCCTCCTCTCTCCAACCCTCCCATCCTCTTCCTCCCTTCTTCAACTCTCCCATTCCCTTCCCATTCCTGTTCTTCCACCATTTTCCTTCCTTCTGCCTCTCCTCACCCTCTTCCTCCCCTCTCCAGCCCCTCCATCCTCCTCTCCTCACCTCTCCCTGCTCTTCCTCACCTCTCCCTGCCCTTCCTCACCTCTCCCTGCTCTTCCTCCCTCCCCAGCCCTTCGTGGAGGTGGCAGTGAAGCACCACAACCGCTACGAGGCCAAGAAATACGCGCCACGTGTGCTGCCCGAGCAGCGCGTGAAGGCCTTCGTCCTCGTGGGGTGCGCTGGGGACACCCAGGGACCCTCTGGAGACATCCAGGGGACCCTCTGGAGACATCCTGGGACCCTCTGGGGACATCCTGGGGACCCTCGGGGGACAGCCTGGGGACTCTCAGTGCGGGGACATTCAGGGGACCCTCATGGGGGGACATCCAGGGGATCCTAGTGGGAACATCCAGGGGACACTCAGGGGGGACATTCTTGGGGTGGCATCCAGGGGATCCTCGGGGGACATCCCGGGGATACTTGTGGGGATAGTGAGGGGACCATCAGGGGGACATCTGGGGGACCCTCAGGGGGACATCCCAGGAATACTCATGGGGGGACATCCAGGGGATCCTCAGGTGGGGACATCCAGGAGACCTTCATGGGGACATCCTGGGGACCGTCAGTGGGGACATCCAGGGACCCTCAGGGAACATCCTGGGCAGTATCAGGGGGACATCCAGGGGACCCTCGTGGGGACATCCAGGGGATCCTTGCAGGGACATCCCAAGGACACTCAGGGGGACATCCAGGGGACCTTCAGGGGGCATCCAGGGGACCCTCAATGGGGGGACATCATGGGAACCCTGATGGGGACATCCAGGGGACCCTCGTGGGGATCTGGAAGCACGCAGTGGAACTCCCTCCCTGTGGGGCAGCAGTGGGGATCTGGGGGGTGACACCCACAGGAGGCTTTGGGGACACCGGGAGCCCCCAGGGCGGTGGGACAGTGATGAGAAGGTGGGGGTGCCCTGTGTCCCCGTGCTGTCCCCTCACGGCTCTCTGGTGTCGCAGGGACCTGGAGCAGGCGGCCGAGGCGGCCATGGAGCGCAAGAACGAGGCCGAGATGAGCTTGGTGCTGTCCCGGTGCTCCCCCGGCACCGACGGCGCCCTGGCTGAGAGGCTCAACCGGGCCCGGGCACAGCTCCTCAAAAAGTGACCCTGGGGACACCGCAGGGACACCCCCGGGACACTGCAGGGACACCACTAGGGACAGCCCATGGACACTGCCAGGGACAGCCCAGGGACACCCCCAGGACACTGCAGGGACACCCTGGGGACACCCCAAGGACACCCCATGGACACCCTGTGAGGACACCCCCATGGACATCCTGGGGACACCCCCGGGACACCCCATGGACACCCTGGGGACACCCCAAGGACAGCCCATGGACACCCTGGGGACACCCCAAGGACAGCCCATGGACACTCCCAGGGACACCCTGTGAGGACACCCTGAGGGGACACCCCCAGCCCCCCTGGGGTATCCCTGTCCCCTGGCAGCTGCTCCCAGCCGTGTCCCTGCTGGATGGGTGGCAGAGGTGGCGCCGCTGGGGACAGCGGGGTCCCCTCCCTGCCTGTGCAATAAAGACAAGAGCTCCGTGTCCTGTGTCACCAAGGAGGGCCTGGGGGCCTTGGGGACACCGGGATGAGTGGGGGGGGACAGTCAGGGACACAGCGGGGCTTCGGGAGGGGGGCATCACTGGGTGTCCCCAGGAGTCACTTGGGGGGACATTGGGGGTGTCCCAGGTGGGACATGGGGGAGTCGTTGGGGAATGCTGGGGACTCCCTGGGGGGACACTGAGGGGACATTGGAGGGGTCCATGGGGACACTTGGGGCAATATTGCGGGGGTCCTTGGGGGGACACTGGGGAGTCCCTGGGGGGACCTTGGTGGGGTCCCAGGGGGACATTGGAGGGGGACATTGTGGGGGTCCCAATGGGGTCCCAGGGGGACATTGGAGGGGGACATTGTGGGGGGTCCCAGGGGGACACTGGGGGGGCATTGAGACATTGTGGGGGTCCTGGGGGGACATTGGGTGGGTTCCTGGGGGACATTGTGGGACACTGGGGGAATCCCAGGGGGACACTGTGGGGACATTGGGGGAGTCCCCGGAGGACATTGTGGGACATTGAGTGTATCCCAGGGGGACATCGTGGGGAGGTCCCTGGGAGGACACTGGGGGGGTCCCAGGGGGACACTGGGTGTCCCTGGCAGACATTGTGAGATACTGGGGGGGGGGGGGGGGGGGGATCCCAGGGGGACATTGTGGGACACTGGGGGGTCCCCGGGGGACATTGGGTGTGTCCCAGGGGGACATTGTGGGACACTCGGTGGGCACTGTGGGACACTGGCGGGTCCCATTCCCGCGCTATCTCGCTCGTCCGCCAGGGGGCGCCACAGGGCCCGCGAGGCCCCGCCCTCTGTGACGTCACTCTGCGCCCCGCCCCTTTGCCGCGGTGCGTTGTGGGCTCGCAGAGATGGCGGCGCTCAGCGCGGGCCGGGCGGCGGCGGCGGTGAGCGGGGGACGGGACAAGGGCGCTGAGGGGACAGCGGGCTCAGCCGCGGGGACTGAGGGCACGGAATGAGCGGGGACATCGCTCTGGGGTGGGACATCGGGTATGGGGGAGCCGGACAGGGTCAGGGGGGTCAAACGGGGTCTGACCTCATCGTTCTCTGGGCTGTGAGAGGTCACTGAGGGCTGGGAGGGTCCGTGAGGGGTCAGTGAGGGCTTGAGGGGGTCAGTGAGGGCTGGGAGGGTCAGGGAGGGATGAGTGAAGGTTGGGAGGGTCTGGGGGGTGTCAGTGAGGGTTGGAAGGGTTTGGGGAGGTCATTGAGGGCTGGAGGGGTCTGGGGGAGTGAATGAGGGGTCAGTGAGGGCTGGGAGGGTCAGTGAGAGTTGGGGGGGTCAGTGAGGGCTTGAGGGGGTCACTGGGGGCCGGGCAGGGTCAGTGAGGGGTCAGACGGGTCTGGGAGGGTCAGACGGGTTTGGGGGTTCAGTCTGGGGGGTTGGTGAGGGGTCAGACGGCTCTGGGGGGGTCAGTGAGGGGTCATTGAGGGCTGGGAGGGTCTGGGGGCGTCAGTGAGAGGTCAGACGGGTCTGGGGGTTCAGTCTGGGGGGTTGCTGAGGGGTCAGTGAGGGCTGGGGGGGTTGGTGAGGGGTCAGACGGGTCTGGGGGGGTCACTGAGAGGTCAGACGGGTCTGGGGATTCAGTCGGGTCTTGGGGGGGGTCAGTGAGGGGGTTCACTCGGGTCTGGGGGTCTGTGTGGGGCAGAGCGTGAGGTGAGGGCCGGGGGGGTTCAGTTTGGGGATGGACGAGTTTCAGGCTGGGTTGTGGGGGTGTCTTTTCGGGGGTGACATTTTTGGCTCGGGGAGGGTTTTGGGGGGCACCCCCTGTCCCTGGCGGGGCTCTCTGACCTGTGGCACCCGCAGGGGCTCCTGCGTGCCCAGAGCCTCGGGGCATGGCGGGCGCTGGGCACCTCGGCCACCCTCCTGCAGCAAGCCCAGGCCAAGGTGAGCAGGGGATCTGGGGGGCCAGGGAGGCTCAGGGGGGAGCCCTGACCCCCCAAACTCCCTGAGAGGAGAGGAGGGGCTGGGGGGGTTTGGGAAAAGCTCAGGGGAGGTTTGGGTGGGACATTGGGGTGATTCCTTCTTGGGGAGCGCGGTGGGGTTTGACATCCCTGCGGAGGTGGCACCTGGGGACATGGCCAGTGCTGGGGGGGGGTCTCTGGGGTTTTTCCCAGCCAGAAAATTCCCTGATTCCTTGGGAATATGGCTGAGGGAAGGGCTCAGCCCCAAGTGTGACCTTGAGGCGCTGCCCTTCCCTCAGCTCTGCCTCCTGGTATTTCACATTTGTGCTCTGGACATTTGATTCCAGCTTATTTAAAGCTCCCCATTTGTGACTCTCAGCTTTCCTTCCCTCCCTCCCTCCTTCCTTGCCCATTCCCACTGGGGGTTTGGAGTTTCCCTGGCATTGCTGGCAGGGAATTCCCTGGGCTGGGATTGGGGGGTTCCTGCTGGAATTCCACAGGGAATTCCAGGCTGGGGAAGGAAGGGAAGGGGTGGGTGGGACATCCCAGGAGTGATCAGTGAGGTTCTCTTGTGGTCTGGGCCACCAAAATGGGGTTTGGCAAATTCCAGGAGGTGCTGAGGGCAGGGAGAATGAATGAAGGGATTTAGGAGCGCTGGGGTGTCCCTGGATATGGGGTTGGATACTGGGGAAATTCCTCCTGGAAGGAGAAGGGGAGAGTCCTCATTCCTGGAGGGATTTGGGTGGGATATGGGGGAAATTCCTGCTAAAAATGCCTGTCCAAAATTCCATGGGATCCTGAGGGCAGGGAGAAGGAATGAGGGGATTTAGGAACAACAGCCCGTGCTGGGATAGGGGGTTGGATACTGGGGAAATTTCTCCTGGAAAGACAAGGGGAGAGTCTCCATCCTTGGAGAGATTTGGGGGGGATATTGGGAAATTCCTGCTAAACATGCCTGTCCAAAATTCCAGGAGTTCCTGAGGGCAGGGAGAAGGAATGAGGGGATTTAGGAACACAGGGCTGTGCTGGGATATTGGGGAAAACTCCTCCTGGAAAGAGAAACTGGGAGACCTCATCCCTGGATTTGGGTGGATTGTTAGGGAAATTCCTCCTAAAATGGCTGTCCAAAATTCCAGGAGTTCCTGAGGGCAGGGAGAAGGAATGAAGGGATTTAGGAACACTGGGGTGTCCCTGGATATTGGGGAAATTCCTCCTGGGAAGAGAAACTGGGAGACCTCATCCCTGGAGGGATTTGGGTGGGATATTGGGGAAATTCCTCTTAAAATGGCTGTGCAAAATTCCAGGAGTTCCTGAGGGCAGGGATGAGGGGATTTAGGAACATGGGGCTGTGCTGGGAAACTGGGGAAAACTCCTTTTGGAAAGAGTAATGGGGAGGCCTCATCCCTGGATTTGGGTGGATTATTAGGGAAATTTCTCCTAAAATGCCTGTCCAAAATTCCAGGAGTTCCTGAGGGCAGGGAGAAGGAATGAAGGGATTTAGGAACACAGGGCTGTGCTGGGATATTGGAGAAATTCCTCCTGGGAAGAGAAACTGGGGGACCTCATCCCTGGAGGGATTTGGGTGGGATGTTGGGGATATTCCTCCCAAAAGGCCTGTCCAGAATTCCATGGGATCCTGAGGGCAGGGATGAGGGGATTTAGGAGCGCGGGGCTGTGCCGGGGGCTCTCAGGATCCCTCTGGGCAGAGGCACAGGTTTCTCCTGGCAGTGCTGAGCAGAGCAAGGCCCTCCATGGTGCTGGGTGTGCTCAGGGCTGGTGTCACCCCCGGGTGGCCTCGGGACAGGGACAGGGACAGGGACAGCTCCCCCTGGGCTGGCTCGGGCCCCTCAGGACAAGGGTGCCCAGGGACAGGAGGGATTTGGGGAGGGGGCTCAGCCTGGAGAAAAGGGAGATCAGGGGGGACCCTGTGGCTCTGCCAGGAGGGGACAGCTGGGGACAGGGACAGGACAAAGGGACACGGCCCCAGGCTGGGCCAGGAGAGGTTTGGGTGTCCCCGGGGGTCCCTTGGGAGGACATTGTGGGGACATTGTGGGAGTTTTCCTCCTGTCCAGCAGAGTCCCCATCCCTGGGGGATTACCCAACCCTGTGACACTTGGGGACAATGCTCAGTGGTGGCCTTGGCCCTGCAGGGCGTTCCCAACCCAGACACTCCATGTCCCCATGTCCCCATCACTCTGTGTCCCTGTGGGTGTGATGTGGCTCAGGGCCTGGGGGTCCCTCTGGCCCGGTTTGGGGCTGGTTTGGGGTGACCCCGCTGTGTCCCTGCAGTCCCACAGGGCTGAGGGGACATTCCAGGTGACAATGCTGCCGGGGGACGGCGTGGGCCCGGAGCTCATGCACGCTGTCAAGGAGGTCTTCAAGGTATGGCATGGCCAGGGGACAGCAGCAGCTGCTGGCCCGAGTGTCCCTGCATGTCCCTGTGTGTCCCTAAATGTCCTTGCCCATCCCCATGTGTCACTTAGTGTCCCTAAATGTCCCTGTCTATCACTTAGTGTCCCTGAGTGTCCTTGCCTGTCCCTGAGTGTCCCTATGTGTCCCTGTGTATACCTGAGTATTCCTGAATGTCCCTGAGTATCCCTAAATGTCCTTGCCCATCCCCATGTGTCACTTAGTGTCCCTAAATGTCCCTGTCTATCACTTAGTGTCCCTGAGTGTCCTTGCCTGTCCCTGAGTGTCCCTATGTGTCCCTGTGTATACCTGAGTATTCCTGAATGTCCCTGAGTATCCCTAAATGTCCCTACAAGTCCCTGAGTGTCCCTGCATGTTCCTGCCTGTCCCTGTGTGTCCCTGAGTGTCCCTATGTGTCCCTGCATGTCCCTGTGTATCTCTGAGTGTCCCTGTGTATTCCTGCCTGTCCTTAAATGTCCCTATGAGTCCCTGAGTGTCCCTGCATGTCCCTGAGTGTCCCTGCATGTTCCTGCCTGTCCCTGAGTGTCCCTGTGTGTCCCACAGGCAGAGAGGGTGGGTCCCCATTCCTGGAGGGATTTGGGATAATTGGATTTGGGATGTTGGGATCATTCCTCCTAAAAATGGTTCCCCAAGATAGCAGGGGAATCCCCATCCCTGGGGGGATTTACCAGCCCTGTGGATGTGACACTTGGGGACATCCCAAGGGGTGGCCTTGGCAGTGCTGGGGTCACCTCAGAGGGTTTTCCCGAGGGAAACACCCCATGATTCCATCACTGGTGCTGAGGGGACCCCTCCTGTCCCCGAGCACGGCCCTGGCTGGCTCAGGGCTCCTGTGGGGTGACCGTGGGTGGCCCTGTCCCTGTCCCTGTCGCTGTCCCAGGCTGGCAATGTCCCCGTGATCTTTGACGAGCACCACCTGAGCGAGGTGCAGAACACGGCGTCCGAGGAGAAGCTGGACCGGGTGGTGGACTCCATGAAGGAGAGCAAGGTGGCCCTCATTGGTGAGCACCTGGCCCTGTCCTTGTCCCTGTCCCTGGCCCTGTCCCTGTCCCATCCTCCCCTTGACCCCGCAGGCTGTGCCAGGGGAGGGTTTTGTGGCACATTGGGACAATTCCCCGTGTCCTGACCCCGCTCTGTGTCCTGCAGGGAAGATCCACACACCCATGGAGTACAAGGGAGACCTGGCATCCTATGACATGAGGCTCAGGTGGGGAAAATTAATTAATTAATCATTAATGAGTTATGGGCGAGAGGAAAAGGCTGAGGGATTCTGTGTGGGCTGGGAAACAAAACTTCAGTGGGACCCTGAAGGGTCCTGCAGGGGAGGTGACCCCAATTGTGTCCCCTGGGACTTGCAGGGGACAGTCAGTGGGGATAAAACATTAATTATTAATGAATGAGTTATTGGGAAGCAAAACTCCATAGCCTGGAGCTGCCCCTGTTGACTCATCCTTCTTCCCTGGAAATTCTGGAGATCATGAAGTGGCCTTCAGAATTTGTCACTGGGAAAACCCCATTAATTAATAATTAATAATTAATGAGTTATTGGGAAGCCAAACCCCTGAGGGACCATCCCTGGCCAGGAGCTGTCCCTGCTCACCCTGGGGTCCTGCAGAGGCAGGGGTGGCCCCAGCTGTGTCCCCTGGGACTTGCAGGGAACAGTCAGTGGGGAAAAATCCATTAATTAATAATTAATGAGTTATTGGGAAGCAAAACTCCATAGCCTGGAGTTGCCCCTGTTGACTCATCCTTCTTCCCTGGAAATTCTGGAGATGCTGGGGTGGATCCCAGAATTTGTCATTGGAAAAACTCCAATAATTAATAATTAATGAGTTATTGGGAAGCCAAACTCCTGAGGAACCATCCCTGGCCAGGAGCTGTCCCTGCTCACCCTGGGGTCCTGCAGAGGGGGTGACCTCAAGGACTTGGAGGGGACAGTCACCGGGGAAAAAACATTAATTATTAATTAAGGAGTTATTGGGAGACAAAACCTCTGAGGGACCATCCCTGGCCAGGAGCTGTCCCTGCTCACCCTGGGGTCCTGCAGAGGCAGGGGTGGCCCCAGTTGTGTTCCCTGGGACTTGCAGGGGACAGTCAGTGGGGAAAAAAACATTTATTAATAATTAATGAGTTATTGGGAAGCAAAACTCCATAGCCTGGAGCTGCCCCTGCTGACTGATCCTGCTTCTCTGGAAGTTCTGGAGATGCTGGGGTGGCCACCAGAACTCATCCCTGGGGAAGCCCCATTAATTAATAATTAATAATTAATGAGTTATTGGGAGGCAAAACCCCTGAGGGACCATCCCTGGCCAGGAGCTGTCCCTGCTCACCCTGGGGTCCTGCAGTGGGGGAGGTGGCCCCAGCTGTGTCCCCAGCGCCCAGAGGGGACACGGTGACCCCGGAGCAGCCCCGGTGACCCTGTCCCCGTGTCCCTGTATCCCCGTGTCCCTGTGTCCCCGTGTCCCCATGTCCCCCAGGAGGAAGCTGGACCTGTTTGCCAACGTGGTGCACGTGAAGAGCCTCTCGGGCTACCAGACCCGGCACAACAACCTGGACCTGGTGATCATCCGGGAGCAGACGGAGGGCGAGTACAGCTCCCTGGAGCACGAGGTGGGACAAGGGACAGCCTGGGACACCTGCAGTGGCACCTGCACGGGGCACAGCTCCAGGGGCTCCTCAGAGTCCCCACAGGGGCTCCAGGAGAGCTGGAGAGGAAGGGGGGAAAAAGGGGAAAAAATGGCAAAAGGAGTGGTTGGATTTTATGGATGGGGTCAGGGATTGTAAAACAAAGGGACAAGGGCTGGAGACAGGAGCCAGGGAATGGCTCCCACTGGGAAAGGGGAGATTGGGCTGGGATCTTGGCCAGGAATTCCTGCCTGGGCTGGAATTCCCAGATTTGCTGGGGCTGCCCCTGGATCCCTGGCAGTGCCCAAGGCCAGGCTGGATCCACCTGGGACAGTGGGAGGTGTCCCTGCCCACAGATGGGATGGGATTTAAGGTCTGTTCCAAGCCAAACCATTCCAGGGTTCTGGAGCTCTTTTGCTCTGGGAGAGCTGGGAATGTTCCCCTGGAGAAGGGAAAATTCCAGGGAATCCTCAGAGTCCCTACCAGGAGCTCCAGGAGAGCTACACAGGGGCTGGGGACAAGGCCTGCAGGGACAGGAGCCAGGGAATGGCTCCCACTGGGAAAGGGGAGATTGGGCTGGGATCTTGGCAAGGAATTCCTGCCTGGGCTGGAATTCCCAGAGAACTCCTGGGAATTCCCAACCCTGGATCCCTGGCAGTGCTCAAGGCCAGGCTGGGATGGATTTGGATCCCCCTGGGATGGTGGGAGGTGTCCCTGGGTGGGATGGGATGAACTCCAAGGTGTCCCCAAGCCACCCCATTCCACGATTCCCTGATTCCCTGCTCAGCACACTCTGGACCTGCCTGGAGCAGTGGGATTGGGGAACGTTTGGGGATAGGAACACACCCAGCCCCAGGGAGCACTGGGGTGGCTGCAGCGGGGACAGTGCCTGGCACAGGGGACAGTGGCACTTGGACATTGTCCTGGCTCAGCCCTGGCCAGGATGGAGACACCAGCGGGGAGGAGAACTGCACAGAAAAGGCAAATCTGGGCTGAGACTAGAACAAATTAATAATTAAAACAAAGTGGTGATGGGAATAATTCCATAATTGAAACAAAGTTATGATAAGAACAATTTGATAATTGAAACAAAATTGTGATGATGATGGCGGTGATGGTGATGATGATAACAATTCAGCAATTGAAACAAAATGATGATGATGAGAACAATTCAATAATTGAAAGAAAATGATGATGGAAACAATTCAATAATTGAAACAAAATGATGATGATGAGAACAGTTCAATAATTGAAAGAAAATTATGATGATGAGAACAATTCAATAATTGAAACAAAGTGGTGGGGATGGTGATAAGAACAATTCAATGATTGAAGCAAAATGGTGATGATGATGATGATGATGATGATGATGATAACAATTCAACAATTGAACCAAAGTGGTGATTTTTAGAAAAATTCAATAATTGAAACGAAATTATGATGATGATAAGAGCAATTCAATAATTGAAACAAAATGGTGATAATAAGAAATATATAGTAATTGGAACAAAATTTTAATGATAAGAAATATTTAATTGTAAAAATCCCGATGATAAGAATTAATAATAATTTAATAATAAATACGTGTAAGAATAAAATAATAAATATAATAATAATAAGTAATAAAAATAATAAATAAAAATAAAATAATAATAATAAAAATAATAATTTAATAATAAATACGTGTAAGAATAATCGATATAATAATACATGTAACACATAATAAATATATGGTGATTTTTATTAATAAATTATTTAATTTATTTAATAAATATTTAATAAATTATGGTGAATAATAATAACTAATAGTAATGATAATAATAGTACTAGTAATAATAAACATAAGGAGGGGGAAGGGAAGGTAATAAATATTATTAGTATTCATAATAATTATGATGATAATGATGATGGTAATTATAATAATAGGGAAGGGAAGATAATTAATAATAATTATGATTATCATAACAATAGGGAAGGTAATATAATAAATAATAGTAATAAAAATTAATAATAGTAAAACAAAAATCAATAATAAAATTAATAATTATAATAAAGTAATAATAAAATTAAATAATAATAGTGGTAATAATAACAATAATAACAATAACAATAATAATAATAATAATAATAATAATAATAATAATAATAATAAATACCAATAGGGCAGGGAAGAGAGGCCGGAGCCGGCCGGGCGCGGGGCCAGCGGGGGTGGCGGTGGCGGTGGCGGTGGCCGGGCTGTGACAGCCCCGCTGTGTCCCCAGAGTGCCAAGGGCGTCATCGAGTGCCTCAAGATCATCACCAGGGCCAAGTCCCAGCGCATCGCCAAGTTCGCCTTCGACTACGCCACCAAGAAGGGCCGGGCCAAGGTCACGGCTGTGCACAAGGCCAACATCATGTGAGTGCCACTGTCACCCCTGTCCCCTCAGCTGTGTGAGTGCCACTGTCACCCCTGTCCCCTCTGCTGTGTGAGTGCCACTGTCACCCCTGGCCCCTCAGCCGCAGCGGGGTGACCCCAGCGTGACCCGCAGGGCTCCAGGACACCTGCAGTGGCAGGAGAGGGGGAAAGGGCTTCAAGGTGGAAACAGAGAGGTTGGGGTGGGGTCTTGGCAAGGAATTCCTGCCTGGGCTGGAATTCCCTGGCAGCTGTGGCTGCCCTGGATCCCTGGAGCAGCCTGGGGTGCTGGAAGGTGTCAATAAACTTCAAGGTCCCTCTCCACCCAAACCACCCAAATTCCAGGATTGTGGAGCCCCTCTGCTCTGGGAGAGCTGGGAATGTTCACCTGGAGAGGAAAAAGCTCCAGGGAATCCTCAGAGCCCCTACCAGAGCCTGCAGGGGCTCCAGGAGAGCTGGAGAGGGGCTGGGGACAAGGCCTGCAGGGACAGGAGCCAGGGAATGGCTCCCACTGGGAAAGGGGAGATTGGGCTGGGATCTTGGCAAGGAATTCCTGCCTGGGCTGGAATTCCCAGAGCAGCTGGGGCTGCCCCTGGATCCCTGGCAGTGCCCAAGGCCAGGCTGGACACTGGGGATTGGAGTGAGGGCCATCAGGATTTCCCTGGGATTGGGGCTTTTCCCTCATTCTGCTCCCAGCCAGGGGTGAGCAGACCCTGACCTGCAGCTGATCACATTTATTGATAAATCAGTGTCCAGATATTCCCAGGGCAGCAACTCTGTCCCCATGGATTGTGGGATCATTGGCTTGGGGTCACTCCTGCAGAATCCCAAGCTCTGGGATCATTGATGGGAGCACCTGGACAGCTCCTCCTGCACCTCCCACCTGGGACAAATCCCATCAGGGAGAGGGGGAGAAACCAGCATGGGGACCCCCAAAGGGTGTCACAGATCCCAGTTCCTGCTGGGTCCCTGCAGTTCCTGCTGGATCCCTGCAGCCTTTGGGATTTCTCTGCTGTCCCCCAACCTGTCCTGGTGTTCCCTGTGCAGGAAGCTGGGGGATGGGCTGTTCCTGCAGTGCTGCAAGGAGGTGGCCGAGCTGTACCCCAAGATCAAATTCGACACCATGATCATCGACAACTGCTGCATGCAGGTGAGCCACGCCCCCGGGCCACACCCCCGGGCCGGCCACGCCCCTGAGCGTGTCCCCATCCCTTGTCCCTGTCCCTGTCCCTTCCCAACCCCCCCCGAGGAGCTGGAACCTCCAAGCCTGGGCACACCGAGCCCACCTGGCCCCAGGTTTGTCCCCGTGCTGGGCAGGAGCCCCCTCAGCATTCCCAGCATTCCCAACATTCCCAGCTCTGTCCCACCTGGGCCCCAGGGCTATCCCAGTGCTGCTCCTGGGGGGAATTTGGGGACCTGGGTTCCTGCAGCCTCACTGGGGCTGGCTGTGTTTCTGTCCCTAATAATTCCCCTTTATATCCCTAATAATTCCCCTTCAGTCCCTAAAAACTCCCCACTCCCCTCTCTGCTGCCCCAGGCAGTTGTGCCATCATGGAATGATCTGGGTTGGAGACGCCTCAGATCTCATCCCGCCCCACCACAGCTGGGCTCTGCCCGCTGTCCCAGAGCGGGGCTGAGCTTCCCCCCAGCTGTTCCAGGCCCCATTCCCATTCCCATTCCCATCCCATCCCAGCTGGTGCAGAATCCCTACCAGTTTGACGTCCTGGTGATGCCCAACCTGTACGGGAACATCGTGGACAACCTGGCGGCGGGGCTGGTGGGCGGCGCCGGCGTCGTGCCCGGCGAGAGCTACAGCGCCGAGTACGCCGTGTTCGAGATGGTGAGGAGGGGTGGGCACCCCGGGGCGCCCCAGGGCAGCGTGCCCACGGCTGGCAGGGTGGCACGGCCCTGTCACCGAGCCCCGTGTCCCGCAGGGAGCCCGGCACCCCTTCGCCCAGGCCGTGGGCAGGAACATCGCCAACCCCACGGCCATGCTGCTCTCGGCCTCCAACATGCTGCGGCACCTCAAGTACGTGCTGGGCTCTGAGGGGGGGGTTGGGGGGTCTGGGGGGGCTTCTGAGGGGCTGACCCCCGCTCGCCCCCCCGTTCCAGCCTGGAATACCACTCCAACATGATCTCGGACGCCGTGAAGAAGGTGATCAAAGGTGGAAAAGTGAGTGCGGGGCAGGGGTAGGGCTGCGGGTGCCTGGGTCACCTTCTCTGGCTGCTCTCTTCTTCCCAGCTGCAGTTCGGGTTCTTCTCCTCTTCCCAGCTGGAATTTGGGTTCTTCTCCTCTTCCCAGCTGGAGTTCTGGTTCCTCTCCTCTCTCCAGCTGCAATCCCAGGCCCAGTGCTGTGTCCAGCCCCTGTGGTCATGTCCTGGCCCAGGAAGGGCTTCTAGCAGGGCTGGGGGATCCACCATGGCCTTGGCTGCATTTGGGTTCTTGGGAGGGCTCTCAGGGACCTTCTGCAGCCCCATTCCCACCCCAGGTCCTGGCAGGGTTCTCAGGGACCTTTCCATGTCCACCCAGGTCCTGCTATGGTTCTCAAGGGATGTTCCACAGCCCCAGTGCAACCCCAGGGCTTTCAGGGACTTCTCCATGTCCCCATTCCCACCCCAGGTCCTGGCAGGGCTCTCAGGAACCTTTCTATGTCCCCATGTCGACCCCAGGTCTGGAATGGTTCTCTAGAGATGTTCCACAGCCCCATTCCCACACCACAGGTCCTGGCAGGACTCTCAGGGATGTTCCAGAGCCCCATGTCCACCCCAGATCCTAACAGGGGTCTCAGCGATGTTCCATGTCCCCATGTCCACCCCAGGTCCTGGCATAGTTCTCAAGGGATGTTCCACAGCCCCGTTCCTACCCCAGCTCCTGGCAGGGCTCCCAGGAACGTTCCACAGCCCCAGTGCAACCCCAGGGCTCTCAGGGACTTCTCCATGTCCCCATGTCCACCCCAGGTCCTGGCAGGGCTCTCAGGGACCTGTCCATGTCCCCATTCTCATCCCAGGGCTCTCAGGGACGTTCCCACGTCCCTGTTCCCACTGCAGGTCCTGGAGGGACTCTCAGGGATGTTCCACAGCCCCAAATCCTACCAGGGCTCTCAGGGCCCTCTCCATGTCCCCATTCCCACCCCAGGGTTCTCAAGGGACATTCCACAGCCCCATCTCCACCCCAGGTCCTGGCAGGGCTCTCAGGGACCTGTCCATGTCCCCATTCCCCCCACAGGTCCTGGCAGGGCTGTGGAGGGTCCCTGCTGTCTCTCTCTCTGCTGTCCTGTCCCTGTCTCAGCCGTTCCCCAATTGTTCACCAGAGCCTTTCCCCGTTTCTCCCCTCCCTGTGTTGGATTTGCAGGTCAGGACCCGGGACCTGGGCGGTTACTCCACCACTTCCGACTTCGTCAAGTCCGTCATTGACAACCTGCACCCCAACTATGGGGCTTAGGCCCCCCTGCACCCCAGCTATGGGGCTTAGGCCCCCCTGCACCCCAGCTATGGGGCTTAGCCCCCCTGCACCCCAGCTATGGGGCTCAGGCCCCCCAGCAGCTCCCCCAGCGCCTCAGCCCCTCCCCAAACCCCTCCCAGCCCCCCCAGGGAGGAGGGAACCCCAGGAACCCCTCCCCATCCCCACAGGAGGCGCCCAGTGCGGAGTTTGGGGTTCCCTGGGTGGTTTTGGGGGGATGGGGCAGCGCCCCCAAATCATAGGCAGCTCCTAGGGACATTGGGACCACCCGCCATGGCTCTGGGACCCCCCATTCCCATGGGATCCCCATTACTGGATTATTATCCCTGTGGGACCAGTGGGATTCTCGGATCCCTGTGGGAACAGGACGTTGGACTGTGGGACCCCATTCCCATGGGATCCCTGACTATGGGACCCCCTCCTATTCCTGTGGGATCATTCTGACTGTTGGACCAGTGGGATTTGTGGGATCCCTGTGAGAATGGGACCTTGGGACTGTGGGACCCCATTCCCATGGGATCATTCTGACTGTTGGACCAGTGGGATTTGTGGGATCCCTGTGGGAACAGGACCTTGGGACTGTGGGACCCCATTCCCATGGGATCCCTGACTACAGGACCCCCTCCAATTCCTGTGGGATCATTCTGACTGTTGGACCAGTGGGATTTGTGGGATCCCCGTGGGAACAGGACCTTGGACTGTGGGACCCCATTCTCCCAGGGGATCCCTGTGGCTGTGGGACCAGTGTGGCTGTGGGATCTGTATTCCCACGGGACCCCAGTGACCCCATTCCCGTGGGGCCCATCCCGTGCAGCTTCCAGCAATAAACAGACAGGGTGGCATCCCCCACCCTGTGCCCCCTTGGCAGCTGCTGGCACAGGGTCCCCGTGCCATGGGGTGACCCTGGCACACTCCAGCCGGGGCACGGGGTGGGGAGGTGACCCCGTGCCCCCCAGCCCATGGGGATTGGGGAACTGGGAGCCGATCCCATAACGCTGTGCCCTGGGGCCAGGCCTGGTGCCCCCCGGGCTGTGCCATCGTGTTGTGCTCTGTACTCTGCTTTGCTAATAAAGGGTCCAAGCTTCCCTGCAGCCCTGCCCTGCCCTGGGGGACCCGGGACAGCTTTTGGGGGCACGGGGCTGCAGAGCTGGGGGGGGCAATGCTGGAGCCAAAGCCCAGACCAGACTCTGGGGCAGAGGGGTCAGCAGCCCCTCCACACGTCCCCAAGGCACAGGGACAGTTTTGGGGGCGCCCAGGGCTCCAGGGAGCCCAACCCCAGAGTGCCACAGCCCAGGCTGGGGCCGGGGGGACCCCACTCTGGCAGGGCCCCTGCTGGTCCCCCCTAACCTCCCGTCTCCTTGCAGGTGCGCACGGCGGACATGGGGGGCTACTCCACCTCCATGGATTTCACCCAGGCCGTGATAGATGCCCTGGAGGTGCAGTGACCTCAGCCCCGCCCCTGGCGACTCCAATAAAGTGGCCTCAGGTGTGACCGTGCTGCTGTCAGCGTCCCTCGGCCCGGGCAGGCTGCTGGTGACAGGGTGAGCCCCGCGGGGACAGCCTGGGCACCCCCTGCCACGGAGCAGGACAGGAGGGGTCAGCAACAACCTCAGCCCTTTATTGGGGTTGGTTTGGGCACCCCCGCGCTGCACAGGCAGGGGGACAGGGCCTGGGGACAGCCCCACACAGCCCGGGGTCCCCAGGGAAGGGGACAGGGCCTGGGGACAGCCCCACACAGCCCGAGGTGCCCAGGGAAGGGGACAGGGCCTGGGGACAGCCCCACACAGCCCGGGGTCCCCAGGGAAGGGGACACAGACACGGCCTGGGGCCAGCCCCCTGCAGCCCAGGCCCCAAGGACGGGACAGGGGTGGCAGTTCCACTCTGTAAGGCACAGTCCAGGGGCTGCTGCTGCTGCCCAGAGGGACTCACCCAGGCCCCCAGGGGCTGTGACACGTCCCAAGTGGCCACGGTGCCACAGGGCACAGCTGGGGCCACCACGGGAGCGGTGAGTGGCCACTCCTGGCGCCTGCCTGTCCGTCAGTCTGTCAGTCCGTGTGCTGAGCTCTGCTCCCTAATCCTCCTCTGAGTCCCGAGCCACTGCCTTCTTCTTCTTCTTCTTTTTCTTCTTCTTTTCCTCCTCCTCCTCCTCCTCTTCCTCCTCCTCCCCCTCAGGTTCTACCACGACTTTCCTTTTCTTCTTGGGCAAGGGCTCCTCCTCTTCCTCCTCCTCCTCCACCCCGTTCTCCTCAGGCTCTGGCTCTGCTTCTGACTCCTCTGGCTGCTGCTGCTTCTTCTTTTTCTTCTTCTTCTTGGCCCCCACGTCGTTCTCCTGTGGGGAGCCCCACATCAGCTCTGCCCTCACCTTCCCTCCCTGAATGGGGCACAGAGACCCCTCAGACCCCCCCAGCATCAGGAGCACCCAGGGCCCCCCAAAAGGCTCCCACCCTGTCCCCCTCACCTCCGTCTCCATCACTGAGTTCTCTGCTGCCTCCTCAGCAGCTGCTGCCAGCGCCTCCAGCCGCCGCTTCTCCCTCTTCTTCCTCTTCTTCTCCTTCTTCTCCTGCCTCCTCTTCACCTCAGCCACCACCTCGTTGGCCTGGGGACACACGGGGGACGTGAGCCAGGGCAGGGTCCCGGGGTTTGTCCCCACGCCTGGCCCTGGTCGGATCAGACTCATTAAATCAGTCTTTGGCCTCCACAGTGGGTCAGGATGGCACAGTGACATCACCTCCGACACGGGCCCTCACCTTCATCCCCCAGCACCTCAGCATCACCTTCCTCACCACAGCATCTCACCATCACCTTCATCACCCCAGCATCACCTTCCTCACCACAGCATCTCACCATCATCTTCATCACCCGAGCATCACCTTCCTCACCACAGCATCACCTTCATCACCACAGCATCTCACCATCATCTTCATCCTCCCCGCACCTCACCATCATCTTCATCACCCCAGCACCTCAGCATCATCTTCATCACCTCCACCGCCTTCACTGCCCCCACACCTCCCATTCACAATCTCCATCCCCTGGTACCCCACTACTGCCATCTTCATCTCCTCACCTCCATCATCTTCATCACCCCAACACTTCCATCATTTTCATCCCAGCACATCACCTTCATCACCTTCTTCACCTCACCACCATCTTCATCTCCCTCAAGACCTCACCTCCTCCATCTCCATCTCTCCCACTGCCCCCATTTGTCACCCTCACCACTTTTCTTCATCCCTCAGCCTCCCCTCCTCCTCCTCACCTCCACCACGGCCTCCTTCATCACCTCCAGGTTCTTGCGGGGCGGCTCCCCGGTCTCGTAGAAGGCCAAGCGCTCCTCCACCTGCTCCCGCAGCTTGTCCCCAAAGACACTGGTGGGGACCTCTGTGGGGAGGGGACAGGGGGGCTCAGCACTGCCCCTGCACCCCCAAACCCCCCGCGTGCCCCCCGCGCTCTGCTCAGCCCACAGGAGTCACCATTCACGGGGGTGAGATGCTGTTGACGAAAAATGTTCCCATCACGGCAGAGCGGCCCCAGTGCCCCGAGTGCCCTCCCTGTGCCCACCCGGGCACCGAGTGCCAGTGCCCCCCACCTGTGCCCCCCATCTGTGCCCACCTGAGAAGCAGTCGATGCGCGAGGCAATGGTGCACTTGTTGGCCAGGTAGCGCGAGATGCGCCCCTTGTTCTTGGCGGCCGCGCGCCCGATGAAGGTGGAGTGGAAGATGAGGCCGTACTTGGGGGTGTTCCCCCGCGTCTTCAGCGCCCTGCGAGTGCCCAGGGTGGGGTCAGGACCCCCGAGTGCCACCCCCAGCCCCCGACAGCCCCTCCCCAGCCCACTGTGCTCCGGGGGTCGCTCAGAGCGGGGCCGGCTGCTCACCCCCAGCGAGTCACAGCCACTGCCCTGAGGCCGCCATCACCGCGACCGCCCTGGGTACCTGAACAGGGCCTTCTCTGCCCCCAGGATCTGCACCGTCGAGGCCGGGTACTTGGCCAGGTTGGTCAGGCTGCCAGCGTGCGAGATGAGGCGGGCACCCACCTGGGGGACAGCACGGGGGGGGGGGGGTTACAGGAGGCTCTGAGCCCCCCAAGGGAGCAGGGAGTCCCCACAGGCCGGGGATCAGCAGTGGAAGTGTCAGCAGCACGACTCAGTGGATTGACAGATTCACTCTGACATCATCTCCGCGGCAGGGGAGGGACAGGGGAGGGCTCTCTGGGGACACTGTGGGGACACTCACCACCTCCCCGATGAGGGCTGACAGGCTGGGGGCCACCTGGCTCATCTTGGAGCGCAGGTACTCCTGCAGCCCCTTGCGGTAGTCGGACAGCGAGATGACGCGGCGCGAGAAGCTCTCGATGTTGATGAGGTCCAGGGGGGAGATGTCCATGCCTGGGGGTGGCACGGGCTCAGTGGCAGCGCTGGGCACGTGGCCAGGCCCCCCCTGAGCCCCCGAAAGCCCCCCTCACCCATGGAGGAGCGCGAGGCCTCCAGGATGGCCTGGGCCTTGGCGCTGTCCATGACGATCTCCTCCAGCCCCTCCAGGCTCTCCTCGCTCAGCTCCCGGCGGTTCCCGATGAATTTGGCCACCCGGCAGTACATGGAGTTCTCGGGGACGATCTTGATCAGCTCGGGGAAGTGGTACCCGTACCACTCCCTGCGAGGACAGGACACGGTCACTGCTGCCACCCGGGCCCCACCCCAGCTCGGGGTGTCCCCAGGCCACCCCACCACGTTCCCCATGTCCCCCCTGGTCCATGCCATGGCCCTGAGGCCCGGCCAGTGTCCCCTGGGGAGCTGCTGTCCCTCCCCGGTCTGTACAGGCGGCCGGAGCAGCGGCAGCTGCCTGTGGTAAGCATGGGGAGGGAGGGGACCCCAAACCCTTTAACCCCCCAAAATCCGTCCCCACGGACCGGACACGCATGGAGAAGGTGTTGATGTCCTTGTCCAGCTGGTCCAGCAGGCTGATGGACTGGATGATCATGTTGTCCACCCGGTGCACGTTGAACTTCACCTTGGCCCGGGAGTAGCTGTGCCCGAGCCCCAGCTGGGCCTTGGCCGCCGACTGCGCCGTGAGGCCCCGGACCAGCGCCGGGAAGTGCAGCCGGATCCCTGCGGGGACACGGGGGGACAACGGTGCCACCACAGGGGACAATGGTGCCACCGCATGGACACTGAGCTGCCACCACGTGCGACCCCAGCGACACCTCACAGCCACGGCACCGGGTCCGCCCCACTCCTCACCCCTCCCAGGTGAATCCCAGGACCCCAGAGATGTCCCCTCTGTCCCCACTCACCTCGCATGAGCTCGGCCACGACGCCCCCGGTCTGGCACTGCACCCCCAGCTCCTCCAGCACGGCCGCACCCATCTTGGCATCGCCCACCCCCAGCACCACCTTCTTCCTCTTGGGGGGCAGCGCCGTGTCCAGCAGCAGCCGCAGGTCCTCGTGCAGGACTCCTGCGGGACAGGGGGGGCTCAGCGCGGTGCCCGCGGGAGGGGGGTCCCGGTGTCCCCGGCCCCGCCGCGCTCACCCTCGGACACGGCGTTCATGTTCTCCAGCGCGCTCTGCGCCGAGCGGAACGGCGAGAACGCCACGAGCTTCACCACGTTATGGAACTTGCCCAGCGTGAGGACGCTCTCCTCCACCTGCGACCGGGGACAACCGGGGGCTCCGGTCACGGGGAACGGCCCCGGCACCGGGACCCCCCCGCCTGTTCCCCCCGCCGCTTCCCCGGTCCTTCCACCTCTCTCCATCCCCGCTCCCGGTGTGTCCCCTCCTGCCCTCACCTCCCCGATCCCCGTTCCCGTCCTTCCCCACGCCGTTCCCGCCTTTCCACGCCGTTCCCCTCCCGTTCCTCCCCGTCCCCGCTCCCGCCGTTGCCGGTGCGGTACCTGCGGTAGCAGCATGCCGATCTCCTCCACTTCCCGCACGGCGAACAGCGCGTACCCGGCCGCATGTTCGAACAGCACGTGCAGCAGCACCTGCGGCACCGAGGGCTCCGCTCACCGAGGGCGGCACCGGGGCCGCGCTCCCGCCCATCCCCGCGCCCGCCGCCCCGGCCCGATGCGGCTCCCCCGGCCTCCCGCCGGTCCCGGCCCGTCCCGATGCGGTCCGAGGGGGCTCCTGGGTCCCTCCCAACTCCCGATGGCGGCGGATGCGGCCCGGGCCCGTCCCCTCACTCACCATCGTCCTCCTGCCGCCGCCGCCGTCCGGAACTGACGCGCTGTCCCCGCCGGAACCCCGTCTCCTCCCCTTTCCACCAATCAGCGCCCACTGCGCCGCGCCCTCCACCAATCACCGCAGGCCGCCCTCGATGGGCCCGCCCCGCAGCCAATCAGGCAGAGGATGGCCTAACCCCGCCCCCTCGGCGGCACCTACCAATCAGAGCCGGGAGGGGGGCGTTCCCTCCCGCCTTTTCCTGCGCGCCGGCCAATGGGAGCCCTGCGCGCGCGAGCCCCGGCCCCGCCCCTTCCCGCGCTGGTCGGCGCGCGCGCGGCCGCACGTGGCGGGACCCGCCCCCCCCCCCCCCCTTCCCCCCGCAATGTCCCCGCGGTGCCACCCCCGGACCCCCCATGGCCCCGCGGTGCCGCTCCTGGGGCGCCCAGAGCTCTCCCGGTCCCCTCCTGGGACCTTCAGTGCCCTCCAAGTGTCCCCGCGGTCCCACCCGGGACCCCCAAATGTCTCCTGGTGCCACCCCAGGATCCCCAAATGTCGCCGTGGTTCCATCCTTGCGCTCCCTGTGATCCCCCGGGGTCCTCAGTCCCCTCCCGGGACTCCCAGTGCCCCTCTCGGATCCCTCCTGTGACCCCCGGTCCCCTTTTATGCTCCCCCGTGTCCCACCCGAAGCTCCTCGTGTCCCTTCCCGTGTCCCCTCCCGTGTCCCCCGCAGTGTCCCCGCCCGGTGCCCGGTGCCAGGCGCAGGCAGCGCGTCCAGGGAAGTTTTATTGGATGCCAGGAGCGCGGGGTCCCGGGGGTCCCGGGGGGTTCCGTAGTGTCCGAGAGCAGCGCGGGGGATCCCGGGAAGCGGCTCCGGCTCCCACCGCGAGCGGGGCCGGGCTGGGGGGAACGGAGGGTCCCGAGGGAGGGGACAGCGGGCCGGGGTCCCTCGGGGGCGGTCAGGCCACGAAGTGCTGGCGGAGGTGCTGGAGCAGGTCCGGGGTGAGCAGCACCCGGTGCGCCTGGCCGTGCCCCGGGGCGCACGGGATCGTCACCCGCCCGCACAGCGCCGGGCCCTGCGCCTGCTCCTGCTTGGCCTGCGGGGACAGCCACGCGCTCAGAGCGGCCCCAAAGCCGTGGGACCTGGGGGTGCTGCTGGGGTGGGGCAGGGGATCCTCACCCAGCCCATCCCTGGGAGTGGGAGATCCCTCGGGATTGGAGTTTGTCAGAACAGGGGGTCCCTCGAAACTGGGGATCAGGAGCAGGGCTCCCTTGGGATGGATTGGGGCTCATCAGGAATGGGAGTTTCTTGGGATTGGCGTCCCTCAGGTCCTGGGGATCCCTTGAGAATGGGGTCCCTCAGGATTGGGGGTTCCTTGTGATTGGGGTCCCTCAGGTACAGGGGATCCCTTGGTATTGGGGTCCCTCAGGAAAGGGGATCCCTTGGTATTGGGGTCCCTAGGGAATAGGGGTTTTGTGACTGGTGTCTCTTGGAATTGGGGTTCCCTCAGAACTGGGGATCCCTTGAGATTGGGGTCCCTCAGGACTGGGGGTTCCTTGAGACAGGGGTCCCTCAGGACTGGGGTCCTTCAGAATCGGGGTTCCCTCGGGAATGGGGATCCCTCAAGGGATCCTTTGGGATTGGGGTCCCTCAGGAATGGGAGTCCCTCGATATTAGGGGATTCCTTTGGGATTGGGGTCCCTCAGGAATGGGGGTTCCTTGGGACTGGGGTCTCTCAGGACTTGGAACTGGGGGCCCCTCAGGAATGGGAGTTTTTGTGACTGGCATCTCTTGGAATCAGGGTTCCCTCAGGAATGGGGGTCCCTCGAGATTGGAGTCCCTCAGGACTGGGGGGTTCCTTGGGATCCCTCAGGATTGAGGGGTTCCTTGGGACTGGGGTCCCTCAAGATTGGGGATTTTTGTGACTGGTGTCTCTCGGAATTGGGATTCCCTCAGGAATGGGGATCCCTCGAGATTAGGGGACTCCTTTGGGATTGGGGTCCCTCAGGATTGGGGCTCTCAGAGCTGGGGGGTCCCTCAGGACTGGGGTCCCTCAGGATTGGGGTCTCACCTTCAGGAAGGAGGAGGACGGGAAGGTGCCGAAGGTGGTGGAGACGCCGGCGCCCGGCTGCTGCTGAACCATCTCCCGCAGCGTGTCGTCCTGGGGGCACAGCAAGGTCACCCCAAAACCCACCCCGGGGGGACCCTCCTCACCCACCCTGGGCAGGAATCAGAGGGGTCAAACCCCCGTTTTGGGAGGGGAACGGGAATGGGAATGGGCGGCAGCACCTTGTCCCCTCACTGCCACCAGGTGCCACCAGCCCCAGCCTGGGGGTGCCACCAGGTCCCCCCATGCTGGAGAAGACCCTTC